ATAACCAGCCTTTTGCAGTTGTCAGAGTGAGCAACCACATGTGTAGATGTAGACAGCAGTGTTTTTGCTGCAGCAATCTAGACCAGTGTGGCTTGGTCTTTAGATGGAAGTGATCTCACCTCCTGCACAGCCAGGGTATGCTGCATCCTGCAGGTTCGCTGTTAAAATAGATGTGGGTAACTGTGCTCTTTGCACTTCCGATGAGCAGGAACAGAACTCTGCAGAGAGAGGCTCTAGTTCCAGGTTAGTGACGCAGATGGCTGACTAAAATAGGATTTGCCCAGCCAGGGGGAAGAGACTGAGTGAAGCTGGAGGTGGTGTCTCCAACATTATCTACAGCATTTTTTTATTCTCAGGTCACTTGCAAGGAACAAAAGTTCCCAAGAAGGAAATGGGAGGGTGGTTCTCTAGCTCAAGAGCCTGGAAATGTTAAAGATCGTTCACAACGGTGTCAGCTTGAGCATCTGGTGCATGAATTTAGTTCAGTTTGAACGCCTGTTAAAGCTGCAGTAGTGTTTGATGTGCAGAGTCTGTTCCTTACTGAGTTGGACCTCACCTACAGTTTATTTGGGGTGTGATTCTCTGTCCTTGGATGTATCCCTGTGCCAGGGAGGTTATGCTGGCTGAGTTAGCAGAGACAGTTTGGGGAAGAAACTTAAGAGAATTTTGCATGTTTTTCACAAAATGCAAGTCCAGCAGCACAAAATGGGAGGAGAAGTCTAGTGGGGAACGAAGTGCTCTATCCTGCCAACCTGTTCCATTTGTCTCTTTGAAGGGCTTTCAGTACCTCTGGTAAAAGCTACCTCCTCCTTCCACTGCCACGTTGAACATTTCTTAGCAGCCGGCTTTTGGCTGCACTTTGGTGTTTCAGCGTTGCTTCATGCTTAGCTGGAGGAGTTAGCTGCAGCATGGCAAACTTCTTGCTTTGTGCTGAGCAAGCTGCTGCTGCAGCATTTTAGACTCCTCTGTGGTAACTGAGCAGGAGGCCCTGAAAGGCTGAGCTCCTGTCTCTGCATAGTACTGTTAACACCTGGCCGGTAATGGACCAAACGGCACTTCACCAGCACTTCAGGGAATCTCTGCTAAAACACAGGAGCTGTGGAATCACAGAATGATTTGGGTTGGAAGGGACCTTAAAGATCATCTAGTTCCATTCCCCCTGCCACGGACAGGGACACCTTCCACTAGATCAGACTGCTCAAAGCCTCATCCAACCTGGCCTTGAATACTTCCAGGAATGAGGCATCCACAACTTCTCTGTGCAACCTGCTCCAAGAGAAGTCGGCAGTTTGCTAGAGACAAGTGAAGTGGGTAGGACTGGACAGTAATTTCTCTCTTTCCATTGCCAGCTGTCCCCGGAAAACGCCTATGATGTGCTGTGCGTGGCAGACATGTACCTGCTGCCTGGGCTCAAGCGCCTTTGTGGCAGGACCTTGGCTCAGATCCTCGATGAGGACAACGTTGTCAGCATCTGGAGGATTGCAAAGCTGTTCCAGCTGACCCGGCTGGAGGACCAGTGCACGGAGTACATGGCAAAGATCATCGAGAAGGTAACAGAAACACTCCCACTGTAGTTGCTACATAGGCCTGTAAATCTAACTGCAAAGTGAGCCATAGATACAACAGATTTAATGGTTGTACTTTGGTCTGTAATAAATAGTTGGCCTCTCTGGTTCAATGTGCTTCCTGAAGCTGATCAGTGGTTAAGTAGCAAAGCACATGGTCAGTTAGGACAGAGGACAGGGAGTGTGGCTGTATCTGAGGTTACTGCAGTAAGCAGGATGCTGGTGGCTGTCTCGCTCATCCTTGTGGACTGCGAGGTGAAAAACCTGCCCCAAAAGTTCTGCAAGTGCCATGGGCAGGTGACTTTCAATGAGCTTTCAGCCACTGTGCCTGGAGTAACAACGGTGTTACCTGGATACATGGTGTAGTCTGGAGAACGCAGTGGGGTGTGTAGGGGAGCTCTGTGCAGGAAATGTCTTTCAGTGTTTGCTGGAGGGAGTTTGTTCTGGCATAATGCTATAGAAAAAAAGTAATCAGTGTGATCTCTCCTCTTCTCCAGGATGACAAATCTAACAGTAGGGGTTTCCACAGAGAAAATTTATCTGTTGAACAGCCAGAAGTAATGAATCTAACACTGAAGTTTTCTTTATGGGGCTCCATTAAGTGTAATCTTGAGGGATTATAGCTTGAAGTTTCAGGACTCGGAATCTATGTTTTATCCTGAGACAGATTTTTATAAATGGCTTGTGCAGTTCACATGGGAATGTAACATTTTCACCTGCAGCTTGAAAGGTGTGAAATTCTTTTGGCATGTGAAAGCAGCAAAGGAAATCATTCTGGGGCTGTTATTTTGTTCAGTTTATATTTGGGGATGATAGACACATCAGCATGCACCTAGATTGTGGCTTCTGAAAAAGGGATTTGGTTTGAAAGCTGATGAATACGCCAAATAGTAATCAGGCAAGGTAGGGCTTTGCTTCTGTGTTCTCTTTGCGTTCCCCTTCTTTAGCCTGAGTAAGAGTCCTCAGACCCAGCATTGGCAATGTGCCTTCCAAAGGTCATTGGCACAAATGGAGCCACCCCAGCTGCTCAAACATCAGCAGCTGCCAGCATCTTGTGGAGGTGCACTGATGATGGCAACAGGGAGAGATTTTGGCAGTGTGTGTAGCACGGAGCGGGGCTCAGCAACCTGCCATGCCCAGGCACAGTTTGGTAGCATAGACAGACGGAAGATGCTTCTCACCCTTCAGCGCACCACATGTTCCTGGGGAACTTGATAGGAAATCACTCACGAGTGACCTGATTCTGTCAGGCTGGGTGCAGAACAGAGCAGCTGCCTTGCTGTGATCTGCTGGTCGGCTGTTGGTGGTGGGGCTGAGAGCCATGGTGGGCATAGTCATCTGCGGCTCCTGGTTCTGAACTGGGCACAAGCACCTGCTGTCTTGCCTGTTGCAAGGCATTTCCCAAAATTGTCTGGCACCATCTCCTGGTTTGTGCTGGGGGAGCCTTTCTGGAGGGATTGTTGTATATATTCATGTGTCCCAACACCAGAACTATGGATGCTTAGTTAGAGGGTATTACAGTGTGCTGTTTGAGGTGCAGATTGCTTATGGTTGTGACCATTTAGTGTTGGAGTGTTACTGTCTCCTTAAGATGAATTCCAAGACACATCTGCAAGTGGTGTCTGTAGGAGACATAGGAAGATTTGGGTCTCCATGTACTCTTAGCATTCCCTTTACTTCTGTGAGATCCCTCAACAGTGGCTGAGCTTGTTATCCCAACTCTTTACATCCCTTTACTTGTTGTCTTGTCTTCCTAATGGTTCTTTTGTCCACCCTGTCCAGCTGGTGGAGTTGGAGGAGTTTGTGGCTGCTGTGAAGGAGAATGCAGAGGCTGTGGAGGAACGGCAGGAGACTGACTCCATTCCTCTGGTTGATGACATCCGCTTTCACATCACCAGCAATGTGCAGACTTACAGCGCCATCGAGGAAGCCAACCAGAAACTTGAAGCTCTGGAAAACCTCCTGGCCAGTATAGGGCTTGAGTGCTGATGTGGGCAAACCCTGCCTGTCATATGCAGTCTGGATCCCCCCCGCTGGGTTGACTTGGAGTGCAAGAACATCCGAGCCTCTGAATGTGTGTCTTCCCCTTCTTTGTCCTCCTTTCCATCCACTTACAGGCATGGTTTCTTTTTAATTTATTTGTGTCTGGACATACACATGTCTGGTTTGTGTTTGGTTTTATTTTGTTTTTTGCTTCTCCTTTCAGAAGTAGCTCCCAAAGCTCAGCCCAAATCAGTAGCTGCTCCTTTGTACAATACGATGCGGATAGGAGACTGCAGGCTGTTGGCAGTGATACGGGAGCTGTCCTGGGGGACTTGCTACTGCCTGGCGTTAGAACCCATCCTGTTCTATTGCCCAGCAACACACTTCTGAAACTGGTTCGTGCCAGGATATTTGCTGAATTGCCACCAGCAGGGGAAGAAAACTGGATTAAACTCTCTAAGTGTAGTAGAAGGGAGGTGGCCTTTTTTACACTGTCAGCATTATAAGATTGGCAAAGGTGGGCAGTGCTTCCCTAAGAGGGACACAGGATTACTTGACTGTGTGGAAGGCACTATCTTCACTTTTTAGTCTAGTTCTTAGATTAAAAAACCCAAAGTGATTTCCAGGTCTTCCCTAGCTTTTCATTGCTTTGAAGTGCTCAGAATTTAAGAGCTTTGCTTTCTGAACAAACGTCTCTGGGAATACAGTAGAGACCAGAGTCCTTCCATTCTTAGAAAGCAGTAGCTTTCAATGCATAAAAAAGGGAGAGCACCCCTTTTCTTCCTAAGAGGGGAAGGAAACACCTTCTTGGAAACAGTACTTTTCCCTTGCTTTTTGTCCACTGTGGTAGAGTAAAACTGACTTGCTGGTGGGTCAGGGAAGAGGGGTCACCAGAAATCTTTTTTAAAAGGAAAAGGGGCCTTTTGGGTCTCTCACAGGGCAGCTGTCCCACTTGTCAACCTTCTGGCTTTGCTCAGCCTTGAGCCTTGTAGCTTCATTGTTCTCCAGGAAATTCACTGTTTGTACTAATGAATGTTTTTCAATCTGTGTTCTGCAGTAGGTCGTGTTATCTCGTGTTGTCTCCCTAGACTCCTAATGAGGGTGATGGTGTTCTTTCTCCTTGGCACTAATCAGCAGGCGATACGCCTGCATAAGGCTTGCCTTGCCAAATAGGGTGCCCTCGGAGCTGTTCATCTCCAGAATGGCATGTTATGAGAGTCTCGGGTCTCCAAGGCACAGGCTGGGCATGCTTTGCCATGCTGGGAGATAGAAGAGGTGGTGTGTGAAGCACACAGAGAATCTTGCACAGGCAATGGGCTGCCGTTTTGGTCACTTTGTGAGGCAAGAGCTTGAAATAATCCATGTCAGGTGTGCTTTTAGCGTTTGAGGTGGGAACTGGGCATGGATGCTCTGCATCTTCAGGGTGGTTTTTTCTGTATTGGTAGTGGTGCTTCACAGGGATAAGGAAAAGGTTTGGAGATCCAGCATTTAGCAGAGACTTGCTTCAGATGTGGAGGTACTGGGAGGGAGGATGGGTTTCTCTTCTTTGCTGATCTCACCAGGTAAGAGACTGATGCTCCCACACCATGCGAGAACTGCAGCCTTACCATCCCTGCTCAGAGCACCTTCCTGTATCTGGTGTGCACTGAAGCTGTTTCCATGTACATGGGACAGGCTTTGGGCACCACTTGCACTAGGCAGGCTGGGTTCAGTTGCACTGAAGAGAGGGCACTGGAGTTTGGCCACTGTACTCAAGAGAAGCTGGACTTGGGCAAAATCCTGTGTCAGGATTGAGTTGCACTCAACAGAAGCTGGGGACAGAGCTGGTGGGGCAGGAATGAGGTGTGTTGACTTAACGACCCCGCATGCTTGTGCACTTTGTCATCTCTGTTTAACTGGTTTCTCTTGCAGAACAAGTCTGTTTGGGGCAAATGATGGTGGCTGCAGGGCTATTCAAGCAGGGCATGCTTCAATTCTTCTGTTTCAAAATGCTTGTGAGGAAGTGCAAGGAGTTCTTGTGGTTTTTCTGCAGCCATATTAGGGTGAGGGAGGAGGATGTGTTCCTGCAGGGGTGTGTTGCTGTGTGGAAGCAGGGAGCAGCAGAAGTGTTCTTCTGTTTGGGGTGGTGACACGGAGAGGAGCTGTGTGTTTGTTGTGTGATTTGTGGAGGTACACCTCCATGTCCTTCTCTAGGCTTGATGTGGCTTTGACAGGACCACCAAAGAGCCCAGCACAACTTGAGCTGATAAAGGCATCTCAGTAAACTTGAGGGGAAGGGCTATTGAGAAAGCTTTAATATGAAGTCCCATATATTTTGGAGAAAGAAGAGTGGAAACAGAACTGCCTGTTTTCTTGCTCAGTGGAGTGTCAGGTTCATGAAAGCCTACTACAGAAACCGACAGCTTCACCCAGCTGGTTCAGTTCACCTGCGTTTCTCCTTCCTTTATGGCTGAAGATGACACTGAACATAAGCAGGATGTTTAGTTTATCACATCCCCTCTGCTCCTCCTGCATAAATTCCGCCTCTGACATCTTAGCAGTTGGCTTTCCACTGCAGTGCTTGTGACAGCTCTGCACAAGGCTTGCACGGAGCCACCAGAGAGCAGAACGTGGCCTTTGCCTTCTGCTTGTACTGAACGAGATGCAGAAACAGGATTACTGAGGAATGTGCTAATGCTTTTCTCTGCAGATGCCTCAGCTGCTAAAGCAAAAGGGATGCTGGTAGTGGGCAAAGCAGAAGGAAAGCAGAGGAGGGGCAGTGGTGCTGGAAACCATTTTCCGTATGGCTGCTCTTGAATAATTCCATCTCCGCGTCCTTAAGTGCGGAGCAAGTGAGGCTGCAGTTGTACACGTGGGAGGAAAGGTCAGTGTGGCCTTTTGATCTGTCCCCCCAGCAGCGCAGTTCCACGTGGGCTGCCAAGCAAACGCCTCATCTGCCTGCGTGCACTTAGTGGTCGCATCTGTGAGCCCTGTCAGATTGCCCAATTACTGGGGGTCCTTTGACCACCCCCCATCCCTTTTGGCAAAATAGGGCTATCAAAAACCATGTGTAAGCAGATGGTCAGCATGCTGGCAAGCTCTCTAAAATTAAGATGAGCCAGGTCAAAACTTAGATTTGAATTCACTTTATTCTTACTGCAAATAATTTTATCACAAAATAAAAACCTTTTGATTTTTCTTCTGTTGCCAGTGTCCTTTTTGTGTTCTGTTGCCTCTGTCCTTTTTATTTACTACTAGCCACTTGTTGAATTAAGAAGATTGTAAAATTTATCAGAGCAACATTATATTTAAGAAGAAATGTGTAAGCATGTGTGCAGCAATAAAATAGTATATTTCACTATATCTCTTCCTGCTGTGGCCTCTTTGTGACCAATTGACAACATCAGTGTGGCTTTATTTCTGAAAGAACTTGGTGGGCTCCTTCAGTGCTTTTCCCCTGCACCCAGCCACAGGCAGGCTCTGCACCGCCTGGCTTCCAAGCAGTGAGGAAAGTGTGACTCTGCTCCCCTCCCTTGGTGGCTGGGTTGTACGCTCCTGCCAGAGCATGGATGTAAAGCATGGGCATGATTTGCTGGCTCCTTTCTGCCCGGGTTATTCTGTTTCATTAGCAGCACCGTGGCACAGGCTCGGTCACTGTGGTGGTGGTGTGTCAGGGAGGTGATGTTTATCTCAGAAAGTGGCTCTGGGCAGCCCCTGACAGGTAAGTTGTCTCTCCCTGTCTTCTCGTCACCCTGTGCCTCTGTCATTGCTGACTGTCCATTAAATCCAAGGATGGAGATTTCTCAGCCTCTGTGCTTGATTACGCTGACTTCTTCAATGCCCGCACATTGCCCCTGAAGCACGTGTTTTCTCCAGAACCTCAGGTCTGCTGAAGTGCCCGGGCAGTCCTTCCTCTTTGAGGGGGCAGATGCTTATTTTCTCTTTTGCCTGCTTGTGTGTCTGGGTGGCTGCAATGGTGTTGGTGACAGTAATTGAGCTGTCTGTGTGCAGCCCCTGTTAACTTCAGAGTGTGACTGGCATTCAGGGAATGGGGATCCAAGCTCACCCCTGTAGCTCCATGTAGGAACGTGCAATTTTTGGAGGGGGGATACTAATAGCATCTGAATGACTAATGCTGTTGAAGGGAGGGACTGGGCTTGGAAGAGTTCAAGCACTAATCGGGCTTTTGGGACTCAGTACAGTGCTTACAAGGAGTATCATTGTGCTGTGGAAGCCTGGAGTAAATGATGAGCCTCTTTAAGAGTTTTGAGCTGTTCATGGTGGTAGTCATGGTCAAACTGCGAAGATGGCACCTTCCCACGGAACAGCTCGCAGTTGGTGTGTGTTGACAGACTTGTCTGCTCAGGGTGACACTGAGTATTTCTCTCTCTCGCTGTGGGCAGCCTGGCACAGCCTGGGGAGATGGATTGCATCCGTCTATGCTCGGCTCCCAGAGATGAACGAACTTAGCTAGGGCTGGTGATGGGGAAACAAAGGCTTGGCTCTGTTCTCTGCTCACAGGGGATGGCAGTGCTGGCAGAGCAGGTTTTTGTTTTACCTTTTAAGCCAGAATAGGTTTGACATAACAAGTTTATTAAAAGAGGCCGCACTGCCGAACTGTTTGTCAGTCAGGGCCTGTTTTCAATAAAGGTGCTGGATCTGCTGGGATTGCTGCCTGCCTCGAAGAAGTGCTGAGGGAGAAGGAGAAACCCTTTCCTAGGGTTGTAAATGGTTTCTAGGGTGTTAGGTTGCAATCAGAGGTGGGTTATTGGCAATAACCAAGGAAAGGTCTGCAGAGATGGTATCTGTTGGGGGACAGCAGGCATGGCTGGGTGCAGCTATGGACATGCAGACCCTTAAGGCCAAAGCCAAGCTTCAAGCCAGGTGCAGTCAGCATCTGGGGAAGGGGGCAGGCACACACACGCCTTTCAGTTTTCCTAGTTGTGGTTAGCTTTGTAAGCCCACAAGTTCAGGACAAGACCTGAAGGGCATTTCGGGAGACTTAAGAAAGCCATGGAAGAGGATCAGAACCATGCAAAGAGCTAGCTCTGGTCCCGAGGGTCTGGCTGCTCGGTTCCCAAAATAAGCTCTGAGAAATGAGTGTGAGCACTTTCCTCTCCCTCCTCCTGTTAGCGTCAGA